ATCTTAAGATACGTGCCCCTCAAAGCTAATTCTATGTGGCAAATAGTACACCTAAAACCATCAGTCACAAAATGGAAACACCAGAGAACTTTCACCCCCCTCACAATATTATGTCCTAAGACATAGGATAATGCATAAAGAACTATTACACAATTCTTTGACTAAATACTGCAAAATATTAAATAGCCTGGGTGATGGTGGTTATGCTACATTGTTCCTATAAATTTCAAATCATTGTTAACCCCCCAAAAAAATCGCTCAGCCTAGTACATGTCATAGTTACTTTTCCAAGAGTCACCTAGCCATCATCTTTCTTTCTTCTTTCTTCTTATATTTCATATTTCCAGGATACTTAATGATGTAACAATTTCATCCAAAACTTAAATTTGAAAGCCACGTTCACGCAAAAGTTGAAGTGGCTGAATTGGTTCAGAGCTTGTGAAGCTCATGGATAAGACGATCCTTTATCAGATGATTTGAGGTTCTCCCTCGATTTCCAATACATTTAAAAATTTGGAAAACTAGAACTGACTATTTGGCACACGATGCGGCGGAGAACACTACTCATTGTAGCTCAATATAACTAAAAACTGCGCCTATACAAGCGGCAAAGAAATTCAGCGGCGTGAGAAAAGTCAGAAAGTCGAATTATCAGAATTGTTCTCATTGTTGCAAATCAGCCCAGCATGGTTGGCACGGTTTATTCTTCATGAACAATATGATTCTTTAGGGCGCTGACGCACAAAGAGCGCCCGCCGGCATGCATTGTAAAACCAGGCTGATAATGTCCGTGTCTTATCCGCCCGGGCGGCCTCGTAGTGGCAGATAAGAAACTTGTATCGGAGTATTCTGTATGCAGAATACTAACAATCAGAGGTTGATAATGATGCTACAAAGAAAGCGGCACAAAAACCACTGACATGAAACAGCCACCAGATGTTGGGGTGCAGCGTAGCTTCAAGTTGCCGAATGCAATATGTAAGACATAATGAACAGACAAATTGTAACTATAAAAAGGATTGGCGGACAGTTCACTTGCATTATGATCCTAATTTGATGTTATCCACCAGGTCTACACGCAGGAAATGCAAATAGGAACGCAGGCTAAAAACAAGAAAGAAGTGATTTCCATGGGCATGAGCGTGTTTTCTTTTCTTCACGGCCAACTAGACTAGTGCAAGTATGGATGCCACTTCGGTTTTAAAGCATTGTATAGCACTTCACGAGTTAGTTGTCGCCGGCCGACTTCATAGTGATGTACAATTAATAACTGCAATTCGATAGACAGAATTCATAGACCACGGCCAATGCCTAAGAAATTGAGATAGAGGGCAGCTTTGTAGTAGTAGTAGTAGTGGTGATCTTGATTGCCATGACTGTTTGTGAAGATTAAAAAATGGGAGGGGGAACTGAAAGGAATAAGGATTAGAGGTCATGTGAAGGTTAGTTAATGTACAAGGAATAAAGAATGTTAACACGGGGTGCGTCCAGAAGGGATTAGCATGCATGAGAGGCAATACAGGAGTGAGGTCCGTAGGGAACCGGTTAAAATCTGCGGCCTATAATTGACGGGGCGTATTATGCTATCGCATGATGTCAGCCATGAACCAACCAAGGCAATTCACCGAGTCACGCGCATGCCTAGGAAGGGATGCTAAGGCCTATTAAGGCATGCTCAATGGGGGGCAGATCGGTTAAAAGTGACCCATCGAACATGTTAAAGGCGATACGGCAAAATGGATTGGAGATAGCGAGAGTGCTTTATTTGCCAACTACTTGGTTTGGCTTTTGCTAATGCTTGATGCAGTGGCCAGCAATGAAACAAGCTTTCTGATGAAGTTGTGCTTGATTGGGGCATTTGCAGGGTTTTTTTGGGTGCGTTAGACCGGTGAGATTGGGCCGTTCCAGGGGCATGACAGACACTGAAATGCGACGTAGCGGCCTTGGCCGACGGATGACCGCCGAAGGTGATCCGTAAATGGCCTACCTGTGCGGGCGGAAAATAAGAACGCCAAAAAAATAGAATAGAAAGGTTTAGAAAAGGGTTTGCTTTAAGATTAGCGCCAGCAGGCTCACGGCCATCTCGGAATTCCAAGCATTCAAGGAACTCTCACGGTCTAGGTAACGCCAGATGTGGGCAAACGTTAAAGGTGAGGATTTTCTTCAGATTATACTTGAAAATTGAGCTCTACTCACGGACGCCGTCTGAGTGCTCCGGGCACAATACTTTCTAGCTTATTCCAGGCAGAACTCCACGACCGCATACAAGCGCTACAAAAATTCGCCTACACAAAAAAAGGGCTTGCTTTTAAAGAATAAGCGGGCGGCGCGACAGCGCTGCAGCCATAGGATTCAAGATTAAGGGGAACTTCAGGCTTATCTAACAGCAGAATGGCAACACATTAAATTAAATGTGAGGATTATTCTTAGATCACATTGGAATGGACGCCTGCCCTCATGGGTGTTGAGTTACGCATCATACTTCCTGGCTTATTGCAAGGCAGAACTCTGTAATAGCATAGGCAAGGCCTGATACCACGAGCTAAAAAAAACCCAGGGGTTTAGCGCCAAAACTCCGCCCGAGCAACTAGCCAACGCCATAACCCAAGATCATTGGGCCGTAATGGGTATGGCATGATGAGATCACGCCAGGCGCGCGTAACCAGCTCCTAGAACCGGTGGCTGCTGGTGGCCACACCTATAGGCAAGCCTTTGAACATTTGGACTGAGGTTTGAAAACTTGCTTCCAATTTCGGTTTCAAACACATCAAGACAGGTAAGTTCTGATAGGTTTTATCTGTATAGAGGAGTTTCCATGATCAATGCAAATGACACATATTGCATATATACACGTTTCAGTTTCAGTTTCACTGACAAAAACATACAAACACACAAGGACATGCATAAAATGTATGCAAATATACAGGGTAATGCACAGTCACACACACTAAGGCACATTTATATATGTACATATATTATAGGTGTCTGTATAATGTACATGGACATTATGGCACATTTATACATGTCTATACGTAAGACATAAAATGATTATATTGGTACAAATCTATTGTAAACTTTTAAAATTAGGTAGAAACAAATATTAATTTACTAAAATACAAGATTGCTAGGCATCCAATTAGTTCCATGTCATCCCATAAGTGTCAAGATGAGCAGGTTCAAGTTTTTTTTCTGCAGAGAAAGAGTGCATCCAAGATATAGTGGATGTACCTGGTAGTCCAGACTTATCCTATTTGGGCCCTGGACACAACCAAAATGGTTAAAGAGAGGTTTTGAGCTACTCCATGAGTTCCATTAAGATATGGTAGACCCTCTCTATTTAAACATCTTATTTGATAAACCAGAAAAAATTATATCTCAGGAGCTAACAGTTCTGAGGACCAAGGACAGAAAACTATCATAAATATCTTAGCAGGTGTGGAATAACAAAACTGGTATCTACTAACGGATGATATCTTCCAATAAAAAATATTATGATAAATTATAATGTGCATTAGAGATTATGGTCTTGCAAGGCAACAGTATTTTAAATTCTGTCGGGAAAATACACAAAACCTAAAAAATCACAACAACAAAAATTCAATTGATAATTTAATCTTATCTAGAAAATTCTCATATAATGCAACATAGAACTCACAACCAAATTATTCATGCTATGCTCAATAGACTCCAAACTGTGTAGGCAAAAAAATCCAATCTCAAAGAATAATCATAGTGCTTACGAAAGACAAACATATAGACAGAAATCAGCAACTATTGTTAATGTACTAAACATCAAAAAAGGGTAGTACCGAATTTAACAAGAAAGTCATTTTAAGAATGCTGAGAAAACCTACTTGAATTTAATCTACAATCAATCCAGAGTAGATCTGGCTTCGATTGAATTTTGGTTCATCAATCATGAACTTTCCAGAGAGCAATAGGGACCCTTTAGCAACTCTGCTTGATTAAAAGAGAAAATATATATTTTAGAATCCTGTGACTTTAGCAACTAAGTAAGCATCCCTGTTGAGAAAGAAGTAGGAAAAATAGCAAATATCAGCCTCTGAATATTAAAAGAATTATACATCGGTTGTACCCATAAACCAAAGAACCGAACAATGCACCATGTTTGTGTGTTTTTTTCCTGGGTGGGGTTTTTTTTTTTTTTTTTTGTGGGGGGGCCAAATGGGATCAAGCTATCCGCTTGCCCTAAGCACATAGTTAGCAGCTCAAATTAAAAGACTTGACGCTGTGAATAATGCCGATCAATTTTAAAGTCCTACAACAACACGGACAATCCAAACATTTCTGATGAAATCTTTATGTACATCAATTAATCAATAGAGAATCTCTATTTGGGTTGCTTAGTACTATGGCCCTTAAACTATTATAAACCCATCAAATTGTTGTAGATGGGAATCACACTATCTCGATAATAACAGTTGCTTATAGTCTTAATTTTAAATCTATATCGTAATTTTATCCAACGACCTTTTCAAAAACTTTTCATTTGTGTTGTTGATCCCTAAGAAAAAAATGTTTTCAAACTATATTAAACTGGTATCTACATAACTGAGTAGTTATATGCATCATATGAATACAAATAAGAGTATTTATGTTAAGATATAATGTCGCATTAGGCAGTATGTGTGGGCAAGGAAAGTATTTTAAATTCCTGTCAGGGAAATACACAACAACTAAAAAATGACAACAACAAAAATTCATATTGAAAATTTGTAAATCTTATGTGCTAGAAAAATTCTCATGAATGTCAAGCTAGAACTTCACAACAAAGTTCATTTAGCTATGCTGCACGTAGAGCCTCCAAACTGTGTATAGAAAGAAAGTCAATCTCAAAAGAATAAGCATATGTGGCTTACGAAAGGATCAAATAGGAACATATAGACAGAAATCAGCAACATAGTTTAATGTACTAAAATCATCAAGAAAGAGGTAGCTACCGAATTTAACAAGAAAGTTCATTTTAAGAATGCTGAGAACGTACTTGAAGTTTTATCTATCTACAATAACCAGAGTAGGATCTGGCTGGTTGAATTTTGGTTCATCAATATGAACTTTCCAGAGAGCAATAGTGACCCGTGGTTTAGCAACCTGCTGATTAAAAGAGAAATTATATATTTAAATCCTGAACTTTAGCAACTAGGTAGAGCATATATTCTCTGTTGGATGAAGAACGTGAGGAAAACTAGCAAATGATTCATCCTCTGAAAGATAAAAGAAATTATACATGGTTGCTACCCATACAAAACAAGGTTAACAGACAGACAGAAGATGCACATGGGTGTTGTGGTGTTTTTTTCCTGGGTGGGTTTTTTTTTTTTTTTTTTTGTTTTTTTTTTTGGGGGGGGGGGGGGCGGGGCAATGGGATTCAAGCTACCGCTTGCTAGGCACATAGTTAGCAGCTCAATAAAAGATTTGGTACCTTTGAATAATGGCGATCATTTAAGTCCTACAACAAAGCGGAAATCTCAACACATTTGATGAAATCTTTCATGTACATCAATTAGGATCAAGATAGATGATCTCTAATTGTGTGTTGGCTTAGTACTATGGCTTAAACTATTATAAACCCCATCAAATTTGTTGTAGATGGATATCACACCTATCTCGATAATAACAGTGGCTTATATCTTAATTTTAAATATCTATATCGTAATTTTATCGAACGACTTTTTCAAAAGCTTTTATTTTGTATGTTGTTGATCCCTAAGAAAAAAATGTTCAAACTAATATGTTTTTCACGTTTTTAGATTATTTAGTTATTATAGGCTCCAATCTAGGAGTTATTGATTTTAAATTTGATGCTAGCGTATCTTTTTGATTGAGAACATTAGAGGTAACATTTATCGTTAGGATCCTAGTAAATTTGTATGTGAGTTTATATATATCCACAGGACCACATGTATATAGAATCATAGTTACCAGTTGCTTTAGTAAGAAATTTTTTTCGTATGTGATGACAAATCTTTTCAACTTAAATTAGATGATCAAGTACAAGTCTTCTTCAACTTAAGAATAAGATACATCAAACTTTTGTTATGTTATTATCCTTTGTCCACAGATTTTATATGCGGTAAATTTTATATCATAGTAAAATCATTGCTTTTCCATAAGCATTGATGAATAAATAACAACAAATCACACGATTTTGGAGTTTGTATGCTTAGAGTGAAGATCAAAATGAATGTTGTTGATCTTCTCGTAAATGGTGAAAACTTAAGCTTTTCTCAATCAAAGGGATAATATACTTATACCCCAATAATCTCATATAAATTACTATACATAGTATAGATTATATTGCATTATCGATGCGTGTATATACACATAACTAATATGATATATGTAGAGATAGACTTGGGTCCTGTGGGAGCTAAATCCTTCAACTAGACTTCGATTGTAGGGCATCCATTTTTTAATTCATTCCACTAAAGCTGATATGTGTATCTAAAGTGTCTACATACCAAAAGCAAGTACGCTAAAAATTGTTTTCCGCATAAAAAAATATGGCAAAAATGGAATTTTTTTGTAGATATAACACTTTAGGTATAGAAATGGTAGATGCCAAACATCAAATTTGTCTAAACACTTAAAAATCTGAACAAAAGTTTGGTAGATCGAAACATGCAAATTTGATCTAACACTTATACATCTGAAAATAAAAGTTTGTTATTTTTAAACATTCATATTTACTAATCGACTAGCTATTTAGACCGTCCATTTTGTATATTTTGATGGATAAGCAATCGAACTCAAGAAAAATTATTTCTTAGATTTTAAGGCACTTTGTAGAAAAACTTTTAGTGAAAGATTTTTTCATACTATGAATTGCCAAACAGTGAATTTGAATGGGAAGGTTTTGTATTCTGGAGTAGGCCATCTTGTCCACTGCTGCTACATGAGTGAAATCTGTGTCTACATTCTAGCCTGTGTCTCTATGTTATGTGCATGTCTGTGTTGGGTTTTGTACATTGTACCCTTGCATGTGCGTATGTGTGCATGTCCATGTATAATGTGTGCACGTCTGTGTGGCATGCTTGTTGACATGCGAGAGCACGAGTTCAGGTGAGAGAAATACACAGGAGGCCAGCAAATATAGAAAGAAATTCATCTTTATGGCTCCATCATGAAGAAACTAAATTATAGATACACACATCCAGTAATTCTGTGTCACGTGACTTTATGCAAATTACAGAATTTAGTGAATGTGATTATAATTATATAATAAAATATTTTCCACCTCCAAATCTATAGCTAAAGCCGAAAGGTAAGAAACTACAAGATCTTTGGGTATCAAGGTTTTATGGATTAGACATCAACCATGAATGGTGACGGAGCCAGGAACTTTGTTTTTTTGTGGGGGCCGCCAGGGGGTCCAAAAAAATTAATAAGTAATCACAATAACATTTAAAGCAGGACAAAGGGACACTCATGAGAAATCCAAACGATTTGTGATTTATTCGTGTTTCAAATATGTTGCAAGAATCCAAATGAATGAGTTTCAAGAAAGTTGATGGATCTTAACATTTTACTTCTATGATTTATAAAATTATTATTAGCATTAACCCCCGCGATGCAAGAGCAAATTCAAAGATTATATATGTTGCAAATAGACGCCCCTGTACTATCACCAAACTAAACTTACCCCTGAAGTCTATTGTTGCAGAATAGGACCCTACGAACGCAGTCTTTGTTGTGGATATACTCCCCTAATTCAAAATCTATTGTTGCAGATAGACCCTTGAAAAAGGGTCAAAAAAATTTCACTCAATTTGGGGTCTATCCGCAATTAACAGTCGCTCACGAATAGGAACACAAAAAAAAAGGATCAAACCCAAATCCCCCCCAAACCCCACCCCCCAACTCTACCAAGAAAAACAAAACGAGAGATAGGGAGCCCAAGTCCCAAAACACAAAACAGCCAGAGCAAAAGAAAGAGGAAGAAGTCACTTCATCTCATTCCTTACCCCCTTCAGCTCCCCAACCCAGGAGTCCATCTAGCTAGCTTTATTTCATTTCCCAAGGTGGGGCAAAGGCCCCTTTCGCCCTCACTAGCTCCGCCCTTGGGTGTCAATCGTCCAACCCAGGGTCTTTTTTCAAGAATGTATTATATAAGTGTGTAATAGATCTTCAAAAGTTTCTCCTACCAATGGTAACATAAGATGTTCAATGACCATCAACAATGTGTCCGTTTTTCCAGATATGATCAGTGCAAGTTGGGAACTTGTTTCCTGAGACAGGAACATGTCACCATGCCCAAGAGCCACCAGTAACTAAGTAACCTGTTAGGATTGATCACAAACCTCTCTTAGCAATCAATTTTTACAGCTAGGTGTTTGGCGGCAAAAACTTCTATTCTTTGGATACCAAGTTCAAAGCCAAATGCTGAATTGCAGTAGGATAATACGGAGACTAATCTGTACATCTGAAGAAAAAAAAATGCTAAAGATCATCTAGGAAGAAAAAGAAGAAAACTAGCTCTTAAAAGCTAAGCTTCAAAACGAAGCACCTCAATAAAATATGAGGTAACCTCCAAAGGGATTATCCGTGTCCACAAAGGCCATGAACAAGACCCATAAGATGGATAAGATATTTTTATGTCTCAACTGACCTGGCTACTTAAGTACGAGCTTGATGTTAAAAAGAAATTTAACATAAAGAGCGGAAAACATATAATTCAGCCCCTGACTAGCAATGTCCTAACTTATGAGAATAACTATGTCTAACCATGTCTAAATTAAATGCTGAGAGCTGATTGCTTAGGTTAAAAGAGCAAGGGGCAGAGTAGATGCCCAAATAATAAAACCAGTAATAGCTTATACAGAATAAGATCAGCAAGAAGGACGCATGATGCATCATATGAAATGACCATTTTAAAATAGGAGCCAGGGTGTGGACTTCTTCAATATACCTGTAGATCTGGATAAATGGCCAATTCAAACCTGCGAGGTGTTGTAGGATTGCGAGAATCACAGGGTAAAACCACTGCCCATCTGGAAAAACAAGACAGTAATGAGAACATACTGAAACTTCAAGCTCAGAAAACTCTTAAGTAGAGAGAGTAACAAATTTGAGAAATCATATTGCATTTTAATGCTATACTTAAAAAGAAGTAGAAACAGAAAAAGCAAAGTATGCACATACATTTTCCTTTGTACCCATTGTGGAGCAAATGCTTCCAGAATGCTTGGGCCAAAAAGTTCCCGCAGCCATCCACAGAACAAACATATTCGACTCTGAACACAGATAAAGTAAAAGATGTTTTCAGCTGAAACGCTACATAGAGAAAACATAAGAGACAAAAAATATTGATAAAATGGAAAGGGGAAAAAAACTTCCAAAACAACAACAACTGCAAGAAGAGCAACCATACTTCAATAGCACGAACAACATTGCAATGCTCCTTCGCTCGAGCCAAATCTAGAGGTGTCTGGCAGTCATCATTCATAACCAACGGATTTGCTGTGAAATTACCATTTGGCAATTGTTAGACTAAAGAGTAAAACAGGAGGCCTATAATGTAATTGTAGACCAAACACTGTTAAAATTCTAATAGGAGTTTAATTAGAGGGTGAAATTAAGGGAAGAAAATAAATTGAAGGAAAATTTTAGAATTACAAAGACTGACAGTTAACTTTGAGATGAAATAAAGGAGATATACCTCCACTCGAAAGTAATAGATTTACAGTTTGATCAAGTCCCCTTTTTGCAGCATGATGCATAGGAGTTCCAGCATGACCCCCTACATAACACAAAGAAACATGAGATTTCCAATCGCAACTGCATATGCAATACATACAGATGGCTAAGCCAGATAAGAAGCAGCGCAAGATAACACAAGGAAAATGTACTGTCGTTATACTCCTCACTATAAATCCACCATTAAACACAACTAAGTGTTCACTTCATTAGTTGACAGTATGATATGTCACACAAAAATGTACTGTCGATCCCTTATGCAAGTTCAGGCCAGTTGCCAGACAATCTAGGTCGCATCATTTTAAAAAAGTTGCCTTGAGGTCCCAAACCTGACCCTTTTTTGTCTGCTCAAAAAGAGTGAAGCTCATAACTGATGCCACGATATAATACTACAACCTCACCAGTTCTGGGCAGTATAAACTGATGGAAATGATAGCACACGCAATTGTTTAACTGCCACACCAGTCAATTATCATATCTCTAGCTTAAGCACAGGTGAAACAAATATTTCCACGAGGTTTTTAATAACTTTCAAAAACAGCGGAAAACAAAGCTTATAAGGTATTTGAAGGACGCTAATTATGCCACGCTCTTGAATGAAATATTGCGAAAAGAAAGAGAAAAGAGAGGCATTGCTTCCTTAACATCTAGATATTTTAGCAAGCACACAATACTTATGAGTTTTTCACTTCAGCAAGTCAATTTTCAAGCAACAATACAGAAACAGTTAGGTCAATTATTTCCAGGACGATAAGCATTGACATTGGCACCCAACTCAATCAACAACTTTCGCAACATTCAAAGATCGGGTCTCATGCAGTGCCAAAATCAAAGGGTTGCTTCTCCCTTCTTTATCGATTCCACTGCAAAATCCAAGACATCCAACAATTGTGTAATTATGGCCATTCACAGAAAAAAATCCAAGATATCAAACAATTTGTAATCATCCATTCATTGTAAAAAAATGTACAAATTCCCTAAAAATTGCTCACCTCAAGGCCTGCACCTTCACGACGAATAGACTTAATCCCCTCCACGTTTCCATAATTGACCTGCTGATACAAAAGCTCCTCCTTCGATTTGATGAGCACGCCATCTACCGCCAATATCCCAAATAAGATCCGCACTTTTTCTTCCTTGCAAAATCTCACCAACCTAAGAAAATGATCAAACTCCGCCCACAATTCCGAATATTCTCTCCACTGAGCTGAGGCTTTTCTAGGGGTATTGGATGAAACGAAACCCTAGAATATCTACGCAAATTTCTTCAAGTTATTGACTAATTACTTATTTATGCGAGCGAACGATCAAATTAGATTAAAAGAATTGAGAGTAGGGAATGTAACTTAGGACGAACGAGAATTTTACATTACCCCCTAAGCAATTGAAATATCCAACACCCGAATTCACCTTTTTTTCGACCACTGACGCTCTAACCTTTTCTAGTGAAATAATGGAAAACCACAGAATATAAACTTCATAAAAAATTGAATAAATTTATGGCATGAAATGTATCCCTTGGCGACGAAGAACAACCTAATTCGGGAGAAAACCGCTCGTCCACATTCAACTATAATTCTAATTTTGCTCGGGGCTGTGCTTTAAAATGGGGAATTGACGATAACTATGTATTATTATTATTAACAGAATACAATTAGTTTTTGGAAGGCAGTGCAACGACCTTTTGAAATTAATACACAACTTTTAGTTTGATATCAACCAGGACCCGTTATGGCATTGCGGTCTAATGCATTCATAAATATTGAAACCCGAATTTATAAAACAATAGTTTCTTGAGCCATGTCCCACAAGGTATTTTTAGAGACAATTTTTCAAAAAATACCCCTTTTGAAGTATATTTCAAAAAACGAGCTATTTCAACCATATTTGTCATTTTTGGACCCAATTTTCAGCCAGACATTATTTCAAATATTATTTGTCATGTTATATTATTCGACACCTGTTTGAATACTAAGCTCGCAAAATCGATGAAAAAAACTTCGGAAAACTTCTCAGGATGTAAAATCCCGTGACAGTTTTACGGACTAATTACTGGCACCGATTAGTGCCGGATAGAGCCATATTTATCACATTTATAAGTTTGAGATTGCTTGCAGAACTTGCCCATGTACCATATTCAGCGTATTACGACAATTATCTCTTTCTACAGCATGTAGCCTAGTATCCTGTTGAAGCAAATCGCGATCATAGGCGACGGATGACATCGCATCGCTACGCGACTGGGCCATATTCTGTGCGGCTTACACAACAGATGGGGGGGAATAATATGTGGCATTTCATACAGAATGAGAGAATTCCAGCCAGATAGTTATACCACGTATATACGTAGGTATGCGAATGTCATCACGCCAGATGCGATTAGGACGCGACCCACAACCACGCAACTAGATGCCATACCACGCACGATAGATAGTTACAATCTCCTAGTGAAAGGATCAAATGGGATTATGCTTAAAGTTTTTAAAACTAATATAACAAACGGAAATTCTTTTTTGTCATATATTAATTTGTTAAGTTGGGTGTATCATATATGATTAAATCGTAGATCCATTGCTTTTGCATGAGATGAGGTTGCACCTATAAATGAGCATATTAATGAGAGTTCAGGATCTAACAAGTTTAGGCATCTTCAATAGCGAATCGGACAGAGAATAGCCAAATTGCTGTCCATTTAAAAATTTCATGTCGACGCGTTTGAAGGGACGTGCAGGCATAGGTCACGCAATTTGGTAAGTTACACGCGGAAGATGAAGCGACACGCATTCCAAAGGGCGCGCGCCGTGACGACAGAGCTGCCGCACTTCTCAAAGTGCCGCGAGGCGTTGATTGATGGAGCCGTACATCTCAGACTCTATACACAACCGGATATTCAGATTATCGAGGCACATCAACATTGGACAGCCAGGGGCGGCTCCTGGGACGAGGGGGGGGGAGAGAGTAGTGAGTGCGGAAGGGGTAACGAGAGCCGCGAGAAGAAGAAGGGTCGAGAACTTTCAGGATGCATGTAAATTTATATATGTGTTTCAATTTCAAGAATATATCATTGGTTAGATTGTTCGTTGTTTGTGTAGTATCGATTTTTATTTATATATGTGATTTATCATGTGTATTGTTGCATTTATGTTGAATCTTTAGAATATTTTTGTAATTCATTATATATGCCGCAATTGATGTTATAGCGCTGGAATTTTCATGTATTATTCTTATTGAATGAGGCGGAAACTTCTATTTATATACAACAGGGCTTTTGGATTGTGAATTTTTAGGCCTTGATTAGAGACTGGAACATGCCCCACCACCGTTTGCCCTGCATATTCTGTGCGGCTTACACAGACAGATGGAATAATATGTGGGATTTCATACAGAATGAGAGAATTCCAGCAGATAGTTTATACCACGTATATATCGTAGGTATTGGAATGTCACACGCAGATGGATAGGACGCGACCCACAACCAGCAACTGATGCATACCACGCCCACGATAGATAGTTACATCCCTAGTGAAATGTCAAATGGATTATGTAAGTTTTAAAACTAAATTAAAACGGAAATCTTTTTTTGTCAAGATATTATTTGTTAAGTTGTGTATATATGATTAAATCGTAGATCCATGCTTTTGATGAGATTGAGGTTGATATAAATGAGCATATTAATGAGATTCAGGATCTAACAGTGTTAGGGATCTTCAATAGATGGACACAGAATAGCAAATGTGTTCATAAAAATCATGTCGACGCGTTGAAGGACGTGCAGGATAGGTCACGCCAATTTGGTAAAGGTACACGCCGAAGATGTAGGACCGATCAAAGGGCGGCGCGTGACGACAGAGTGGCACTTTCAAAGTGCGGAGCGTGATGATGAGCCGGTACATCTCCACTCATTACACACCCGAGATTCAGATTATCGAGGCACATCAACATGGACAGCGGGGGCGGGAGCGAGGGAGGGGGGAGTGAGGGAAGGGTAAGAAGGGAGAAGAAGAAGGGGAGAACTTTCAGGATGCATGTGAAATTTATAATATGGTTATGAATTTCAAGAATATATATGGTTAGATTGTTCGTTGTTTGTGTAGATCGAGTTTTATTTTATATATGTGATTTTCATGTGTATTGTTTGATATTAGATGGTGAATCTTTATAATATTTTTGTAATTCATTATATATGCCGGCAATTTGATGTTTATGCTGGATTTCATGTATATTGTTTATGAATGAGGCGGAAACTTCATATATATACAACAGGTTTTGGATTGTGAAATTTATAGGCTTGATATAGAGATGGAACATGCCACACAGTTTGTGCATGTTTAGGGTATGCAACTCCACGGGATTTTAAACCCGTGAAGTTGCAGGCCTATTTGCCAAAGAGCTTCCGCTCTCTAGAAGTGGCGCCTGCAACTTCACGGTATTTGAAATCCCGTGAAGTTTCAACTTCATAGGATTTCAAATCACGTGAAGATATGACTCCCCACTATTCCATGCAGTAATTAGGCCTTAAGTTTCACGAGATTTTAAATCCCGTGAAGTTTTCGAAGTTTTTTCATCATTTTCGACCCAGTTTTAGCCAGGTGGCTGAAACTGGGTTGAATATTTGTTTGGCTGAAACTGGGTCAAAAATGGCAAATATGTTTGAAATGGGTCATTCTTTGAAAATAAATTCCTAAAATGGTCTATTTTAAAATTTTGTTCGGATTTTTATCCACACATTACATTACCTTCAAACTTCAAATTTTTTCAAAACTCTTGCAAGCGTTAAAATTTTTTTCTCTCTTTTTATTAAATAAACATTTTGGACATCTGGATATTTCCCTTATAACATGAGAAGCTCCAAGGCTATGGACATTATCTTTTTTAGTCCAATAATATTTCAGTTGAAATTCTTTTTCTAGAATTTTCAAGTACAGAGGGAAGGGGTAGAGATCCTCTACAATTCACCATTCAAAATCTCCTTGTTAAGTGGACTCCATGAATGATACTAACTATTAAGTTTAATTAAAAACGTTTAATTTCGGAGGCTACTGAAATAAACAAAAAATATTAGCCCACATCGCTAATTTTATAAGATTTAATTTCTCTACCATCAAGATTGCAGGGAGTCCGGACCCAAGGGAAGGGCTTGAAGAGCTAAATAAAACAAGGATGCATGTAGACAGTGCATGACAAATATAAATGAGGAGAAAATAGAATTGATATTCACGCAATGCTAACATCGTGGATCCCATAGATGAATTATAGAAATCCATATCTATGTGATTTCCATCTTGAGAGGTAGAATCCTAAGGCAAGACAAAATGAGAAAACTAGTTTGTAATAGAGGAAATTTTCACTGTAGACTGGTTTTTAGTTTTTTATTACCTAAATCGGACCGCTATTATGTTTTATATTATCAGCGAATCGACCCGGTTTCTCTCACCGTTGCGCCGTGGCGAGAAAGCGGGTCGATTAATTTTTAAACGGCCCTCGTAAACAGTCAGCGGTTGCAACCCGACTGTTTAGTCGATCCGCTACGAGACACTTAACTAATCGGTCGGGGTTGGAACCCCGACCTGCTCCATTTCGAATTGGTCAAGGTTCCCAACCCCGACCGATTAGTTAAGTGTCTCGTAGCGGATCGACTAAACAGTCGGGGTTGGCAACCCGACTGTTTACGAGGCTGTTTAAAAATTAATCAACCCGCTTCTCGCCACAGCGCTGACATGGCGAGAAACCGGTGTCGATTCCGGGTAAATAAAACAGAACACAGTTGATTTAGGTAATAAAAACTAAAAACGGTCTACAGTGAAAATTTCCTCGTTTGTAATATAAACCAACTCAAAAC